ACGTCCACTGACAGCCAGAACTAGTTGAGAAAAGACGTTGATACTGGCTATAACAGTTAACAGTTAACATCCAGATTTTGTCAATAAATGACAGAAAATATGTTTAGGCCACAAGAATGTCCACAAATCAAAAAAAGATGTTCACAATGCGGATATAGCCAGAAATGACAGAAAAAAAAAGAAAAAGAAAAAAGAGACAGCATGGCTAAAGGCTATTTTTTTAATTATTATTTAAATGATTGTAAGAAAACTACAACAAAACACAAAAACATTAACAACCATCATCACAACATTACCACATTAGAGTCCCTCAGTCCAGACTAATTTAAGTCTTTCAATCCAGATTAAGTGCAAGTCTTACACAGCCACTGTTCTTATAGCTTTTCAGTTTTTAGATAACTCAATAGACTCATTTTCATTTAATGTTTAAATCTTATTGCATTTAAAAAATTTACATTTGTGAACGTGAAATTTAAATAACAGAAAAAGCAAGGTTTATAAAATAAATATCACTTATTCACATGAAAACTAAAATTATTTCTATATGTAAATCCAAAGTTAGGATTCACATAACATTTGATAAAATCACAAATGTCACACCAAAATGTCACTGTGAAAGAGCAGTTCCAAAATAAGTCTCATGTTTTTCTGAACAGAAAGAGTATGTCATTCTTAAGTCTTTTGAGAGAGCACTTAGTAAAACCTATGAATTAACTTAAATTCTCTAATTTTGTTGGTAGCCTAATGTCCAAGCTTTTTTTCCACGGAATGATCAGTTCAGACTCAATTAAATGGATCAATTGACAGACTCCTCCCAAAACAAGACTATAAATTTCTTATTGTTTTTTAATTTAGATGAAGAATGCCACTGAGCAACAAAGAGATGAAAAAGGTTGCTATATGGCTATTGGGGACAAAGGCAGATGGTGACACTTCTTCCAGTCCATATGGAATATCGAAAGTTTATATAAAATTATATTTATTCTAGAAAAAATTTATTAATTATCTTTTTTTTCTGTCTGTTTGAGGGTGATGGGTAGGCTATTTCATAAATGGGCCTTTGAAGGCCATGGTTCCAAAATATCATGTTCCAAGCTGACCAACTTGACCTCAGCAAATGTGTAAATAAAATCAATTTCACCCATATACTCTATTTGTCCAATTTTTTATAGACTATATTTTGTTGTTATTTGTTATTTATTTATTATGTGTATGCTGTTTAGTAAAATTATATTAAAAAGTAATATATGCATATTTTTCAGATAATAGTATTTTTTTTTTCTCTCGGTTTTTTTTTTCTGGTGAAAAAGGCGGTTATTAGGTACTCTTTCCGGATTCAAGTAGATTGTGATATACCTCCCCTGTAGAAACACAGTTCTACCTTAGTGTTAATAAATAACAGGGACGGTCAACTTTTTTTTAACTTTTATAACATGATACTGAGATTTTTTATATTGATCAAATATGCTCGGAATACAGAGTTTCCAGTTCTGTGGCGGACGGATATGTGACTGCAGTCCGGTCCGCGCAGCAGTCTCTGGCTCTCCGCAGTCCGCACCTTAACTGTCTGAAGGCTGTCTTCGTCTCGTGTCGCTGTCTCGCACTTGACTATCAAGGACTTGTAAGTATGTTGTAATATTGGTAATAATATAGTGAGTGATTCCCGAAATGTTATCATAAAATTTTTTTCGATAGTCGCAGTTGCTCCAGTCAAGTCATCAATCAAATGTGTTTTCCTCTAAATGGACGTGCTAGCTAATCAACTACTTAAGCTAGCTTAGTTTGCGCCAATCAGCCTCAAACCGGACTTTCTATGGCAAGCCGTTTTAACACTAATTTAAACCGACTAAGTTAGTATTTTAATACTAACGTTGCTTATTTTTTATATACTATTCCATTAATTACTAGTACTTATTCATTAGCAACTATATGCTTATTCTTTAGCTAACTTACTAGTCAGAACACAGTTCAATTAAAAATGTAAAATAAATAATCTTGCTAGTAATATTTGGAATAAGTTACTAGTATCTAATATAAAGGTACTAGTATTGAATAAGTACTAGTAGTAGCAAGTTAATAAGTACTAGTATCTAATTAATTGATAGTACTAGAAATAAGTAGTATCTTTGAACAAGTACTAGTATCTATTGAATAAGTACTAGGCTATTGAATAAGTGTCTAAGGAATAAGTACTAGTATCTATTGAATAAGTACTAGGCTATTGAATAAGTGTCTAAGGAATAAGTACTAGTATCTATTGAATAAGTACTAGGCTATTGAATAAGTGTCTAAGGAATAAGTACTAGTATCTATTGAATAAGTACTAGGCTATTGAATAAGTGTCTAAGGAATAAGTACTAGTATCTATTGAATAAGTACTAGGCTAGTGTCTAATGAATAAGTAGAGTCTATTGAATAAGTAATGAACAACTACTAGAGTCTATTGAATTAGTAATGAATAAGTACTAGAGTCTATTGAATAAGTACTAGAGTCTAATGAATAAGTACTAGAGTCTAATGAATAAGTACTAGTATCTATTGAATAAGTACCAGTGTCTAATGAATAATTACTACTATCTAATAATAAGTACTAGTATCTATTGAATAAGTACCAGTGTCTGATGAATAAGTACTAGTGTCTAATGAATAAGTACTAGTGTCTAATGAATAAGTACTAGTGTCTAATGAATAAGTACTAGTGCCTAATGAATAAGTACTAGTGTCTAATGAATAAGTACTAGTGCCTAATGAATAATTACTACTATCTAATAATAAGTACTAGTATCTATTGAGTAAGTACCAGTGTCTGATGAATAAGTACTAGTGTCTAATGAATAAGTACTAGTGTCTAATGAATAAGTACTAGTGCCTAATGAATAAGTACTAGTGTCTAATGAATAAGTACTAGTGCCTAATGAATAATTACTACTATCTAATAATAAGTACTAGTATCTATTGAATAAGTACCAGTGTCTGATGAATAAGTACTAGTGTCTAATGAATAAGTACTAGTGTCTAATGAATAAGTACTAGTGCCTAATGAATAAGTACTAGTGTCTAATGAATAAGTACTAGTGTCTAATGAATAAGTACTAGTGCCTAATGAATAATTACTACTATCTAATAATAAGTACTAGTATCTAGTGAAATGAGACCCATGCTAATTAATTCACCCCTTTCCTCTCTCTTTTATGTTCTGTGGCCAGGATCTCTCATTCATCAGTGCAGCTACCAAGAATAGTGAGTATTTGTCCTCTACCTCCTTTGTCTCAGTGTTATTTCAACACAATTGGTCTCCAAAGTCAGATATATAATGTGTGTGTGTATATATATATATATATATTAGAGGTGTAACGGTTCACAAAATGCACGGTACAGTTCAATACGATACACTTATGTAACGATTCGGTTCGTTTTCGAAACAGCAAAAAGAAATAAATGGCAGATAAATTTCCTTGATTTTATTTTTTTCTATTCTTTTTTTTTTTAATTAAAACTAACATCATAAAGTATCAGGCGTGAGTTCCGCTTACATTAGGTTTTTCATTTGGTCTTGGGCAATGGTGTGTAGGGCTGGGCGATATGGTATATCGACAATGTCTCGCAAGTACCGCGATGTCGATTATAACAGTCTGTTACAGACGATAATTGCCAATGTCAAAAAATGACATATTTCACATAGCCCTATAGTTATAGCCTACACGTATTCACATGCAATAACATGAATGAAATATTTTTATAGACTAGTTAACAGTGTTGGGGAAGCTACTCTGAAACTGTAGTTTGACCAGCTACAAGCTACTCGTAAGTTAAAGTAGTTAAACTACAGTCAAGCTACCCTTTTGGAAAAGTAGTTAGCTACACTACAAGTTACTATCAAAAAGTAGCTAGCTACATTGAAACTACTTTTGATTTTTTGAACAACGTATATATATTATAAATAACTGAATAAGTGTCTGAGGAATGTTTTAAGTAAAATATTTAGAGTTTAAAACAATGCAATACAATTATGATTTCAAAGAGTATTGTTTTATTACACACAACACTCAAATATCTCAGACTGTATGTCAAAAGTGCAAAATTGCAACAAATAGCCTACAACATTGCAAGAACAAAATATACATCCAACATAAATTGCATCTAGAACATTTTCTCAAAAATACCGATTGAATTTGGACAAATAAGGCCATGGGTAATTAACATTAGTTGTTTGTCCATCCTCCAAACTGCCGTCACGTCTTGCTCCATCATGGATAATCATAATATGGGTGCGTCAACCCACTTCTGTACGTCAGTGAACCGTTAGCCGCAAGATGCATGATTAAACAACAGGTGGCGGTAATTGCAAAAAAAAATTTTGTAATCTAACAAGAAGAAGAATATCCTTGCATCGCGGTGATCGTGCTGATTCGCGCAGGCTTGACAAACACAATGTAGCTTTTGCTCCCACTACACCGCTACTTGATGCAAAAAGTAGTTAGCTACTGGAAAAGCTACACTGTTTAAAAAGCAACTGAGCTACTGCCAAGCTACTGAAAAATGTAGATAAGTTAGTAGTGTCGCTACTTGTAGTTAACTACTCCCCAACACTGCTAGTTAGTAGGACTAGGAATAGAAAATTGATTCTTCTTGATGGCATTCTTTAAGCGCAAGACATGAGAGAACGCGTCTGCATGCGCGCTGTTTTATGTGCTGTGCACTTTCACAAAGCGTGACTCTCATATATTGCACAGACAAAATATTTTTAATATTACTGGGTTTTGTTATGACACTTTTAATTTTGTGATGTTTTGTGATCTTTGTAATGGTTACAGATGGCTTATTTAAGAATGTGGAGAAAACGTAAAGCAGACATCAATGAACTTCTCCAGTCTGACGATAACAACGCGGTGACAATTGACAACGCAGTGACGACAAATGACAGAGAGGAAACAATCAATGATGATGGTGGAAGCAATGCTGATGAACACAGCACCAGTGTTACCACTGATGGTACAGACTTTGACACAGACACCGGAATGTGTGACTCTGATGTGGAGATTTTGAATCCCGAACCAGAGGTCGAAGTTAGAAACCTAGGCGATGACTTGCAAGAGTGGAGTACAAGACACCAAATTACTAATAGGTCCCTAAATGAATTATTGCAGATTCTAAGGGATCATGGACATGTACTCCCCAAAGATGCACGCACATTACTAGCCACTCCTCAAGTCATTGACAGCCATTCAAAATGCAATGGACAGTATATATACTATGGCTTGGAGGGGGGCATTTCCCGTGTACTGTGTCAAAATGATGCTTTCAGACGTCAACACAGTACGGTCAGTTTGGATGTCAACATTGATGGACTACCAATCTTTAAAAGTAGTAAAGTCCAGTTCTGGCCAATACTTGTGACATTTAGCAATTTCAATCCATTTATTGTGGCATTATATTGCGGGGAACGCAAGCCTGAGCCCCTTGATGAGTATCTCCATGACTTTTTGGAGGAGTTCAATAATCTCCAACAGAATGGCCTGGTGTTTTGTGAGAAAAAGTATGCCATAAATATTCGTACCTTTATCTGTGATGCACCGGCAAGAGCATATTTAAAATGCATTAAAGGTCATACTGCATATGACAGTTGTGAGAGGTGCCAAGTGAAAGGCCAGTATGTCGAAAGAAGAGTTGTCTTTAATCAGCTGACATCCACCTTGCGCACAGATGAAGCATTTAGTCAGATAGAGTATTCCCGCCATCAAAATGGGTCTAGCCCTTTAATATCTGCCGGGATACCCTGTGTCAGTGCCTTTGTTTTAGACTATATGCATACGATTTGCTTGGGTGTTGTTAGGCGGCTGTTGGTGTATCTGACTAGAGGCCCAAAACTGTGTAGGCTCTCTGTGAGACAGAAAATTGAAATCTCACAAAAACTGAACGGGCTACAAGGCCAGATGCCCAGCGAGTTTGCGCGACAGCCCCGTGGCCTTCAGGAGTTGGACAGGTGGAAAGCCACAGAGTTCTGTCAGTTTCTTCTTTACACGGGACCCATAGTTCTCAAAAATACTGTCTCCTCACAGCTGTATGCTCATTTTGTGACATTGACCGTGGCAGTATCCATCATGTTGGACTCAGATGACAGGACAAGAGCTGCCTATTTGGATTTTTCTACTGAACTGATGAGGCACTTTGTCTCTAGCTGCCCTGCACTCTATGGAAAAACATTTTCTGTGTACAATGTGCATGCCCTGTTACACATCCATGAAGATGTCTCTCGTTTCAGGTGCTCTTTAAATGACATTTGTTGCTTTCCATATGAGAATTATTTGCAGCAGATCAAAAGATTGGTCAGGACTGGCCAAAATCCATTAGCGCAGGTGTCCAAACGCCTGGTCGAAATCGAACATGCCCAGGGAAATTCCAGTGCAGGGCCAAAAGCTAAGCCCCAAATGTACATTTCAACAAAAAGGAGAGACAGCTGCTTCCTTCTGGACGATGACAGGTTTGCTTTTGTTCAAGAGAGGAGGGGAGATGGGACGGTTTTTGCGATGTGATAAAACAGAGACACACTGCCGCACTGTTTGACAAACCATGTTCGTCAAAGCTCTTGAACATTGCTTACATAGGGAATGGACATAGATTTCAAAGAAAAGAAGTCAAGGAAACAGACCTCGGACGAAAAGTAGCCTGTCTATCTTTCAACAATGGCTCTGTCATGATTCCTCTGCGGCATGGCATTGAACGTTCATGTTGAAGATTGGCAAGTCATAAAATGCATTGAGTATATACTGGGTATGTATATATATGAAATGTGTATTTCTCAACTCAATCTAGAAACAAGCAACAACTAAATGCACTGTGTTTTCAAATTGAAATAATTTTATTTATTTTTTAAAATATTGACATCTTTACATTACTGTAGGCTTGTTATTTGTCTTAATAGTACAACAGTAAAAAATAAATGTCATATTTACCTGTGCCCCTACTGTCTTAAGGCTGGACAGATACCAAAACTGAATTCAGTTAACAAACAGTCTGCACTGCATAAATTATAAATGAAATATAGACTAATCCTTATTAAAGCTACAAAAGTTTTTTAGTCAAGAGCAGTCAGTAATTTTCTCTGTTTTCTTTGTACTTTGTTTCATAGTCTTTCTTGACATCGCGATTGTGATATATTATATATATATATATATATATATATATATATATATATATATATATATATATATCATTTTTATTTATTATATTATTTTTTGTTGCAGGTTATGCTTTTCGTCAGAGCTGTGTGGAATGAAAATGGGAAGGAGATGGAGGGGACCATCCCTGATGCCTGGGTGAACGTTGCTGAAAAAACCCTTCGATGGCCAAAGACGAGGGCAAAATATTGTTTCGACAACCATGTGGCTCCGAAGGAGGATTGGGAAACTTTCCCATTGGTGAAAGTGAAATTTACCTCAGGTAACCTCTTATATTTTGATGCAATTCTGAGAAGTTATGTGATTATATAAGCTTTGATGACATGCATGCTGTCTTTGTAGAAAGTCTCCGTGAGTGTGAAGAACATGATCACACCAGCCATGCTGAACAATTAGAAGATGAAGATGAAGACGGAGAGGTTGTAGTGCAAAAGAGAAAGAAAAAAACTAAAACTTTTGAAGATTTTGTTGAAGGTATGTCCCCATCATTGATTGAATAGTGAAAACATGCAAACTCATGTTACAATTGACCCTTCGCAGGGAGCTTGATTGACAGGTGATCTGACCAATCATACTTCGCCATCTGCCTTTTTCTCCGACAAAGCAGTCAGGAGAGATAGTAGATTAACATGGGATGATTTGAACTTGAGAAACGGAGTGTACTGACGCCTTTCCGCGGTTAAAACAACATTCCTTCTGATGTTCATTCATTTTTATGCGAGAATGGAGAGATGATCGATTCACGAGCAGCTTTAATTGATGCTCTACAGCAGGGGTGTCAAACTCAGTTCCTGGAGGGCCACAGCCCGGCAGAGTTTAGCTTCAACCCTAATTAAACACACCTGATCTGCTAATCAAGTCCTTCAGGCTTATTTGAAAACTGCCTGTGTTTGTGTGTTGAAGCAGTGTTAGAACTAAACTCTGTAGGGCTATGGCCCTCAAGGAACCGAGTTTGACACCCCTGCTCTACAGCGATCTGTCACGACACATTAAAGAGCCACAAAATGATAATTATTGTTTACATTTATTTAAAAAATGACCAAATTTGTAAAGTGAGACTTTGTTTAATATGTTTAATATCAAAAGTAACCTGGTCTGTCCTGTCTGTCAGCGTGTTGTCAGTCTCCTCTCTGCTCTGCGATGTGTTTTTAACTGTGTGAGAACATGAGAGCGGCATAGCTTGTTGGTACATGGCGACAGTAACTAAGGGGGCGGGTCTTTTGGAACAGTCAACTGTAATGTGTTTTAATATTCAAAGGATCAGACCTGTGTGAGGCGTCTGCTGAGGGGGAGGATAAAGAGGAGTGGAAAGGAGGTACAGAAATGTTGTGGCATTAATTTAATGTGCATTGAAAGGTTGCCTGTGCTTAATAACAAAATTAAGTTAAAATTAACTGTAGCTTAATTTGTTTTATACCCCTTATTTACTGATAAGATGCCAGTCCTATAATTCCAGTCTTTCCCACCCCACCAATCAAAATTTCAAAAAATGGTGAGTTGTTGCTTAGATGACCATGCACATTTTAACCAGATTCAAATTTTAAGTTATTTGTGATTGTATTAAACAAAGTCTGTCTTTGTTGTCAGTGGGCCGTGACAGATCAAATAGTGGTGAGTAGAGCTGTCAATCTTCCAATTTAATACCATTCAAATTTCATTTTTCTTTTAATATTCAAATATTTATTGCTCAAATGCAGCCTGTATTTCACTATTATGCATTGTTAACGCAGTAATGATACACTATCTAACAAGTGTATTGAAGCGGCTCTCTTGCAAAGGCTGGTGCTCAGTTAGCACAATTTAAGCATGTTCGAAAGCACAGCAGAAAAGATTTGTCATAAACTAACAATAGCGTTAAAAACTAGCAATAGTTGTTATCAAATAGTAACAAAAGAGCAGGAGAGAGTTCGGCAAACAAATGTTCAAAGATTTAATATTTTACAGAATAATTTACATAACCGAAATACAACCATTTATAAGTCATACCATTTAAGTGAGTTAACACCTTGTGTTTCTTGCTGATTGTGATGTTCCTGAGAATACAGCTATTACGTAATATATGAAGTCGAAGCTAACTGACAGCTGTAGGGCAGCTAACATTAACTTTAGCTGTCTCCATGAAGCTCCCAGCTAAGCTTCTTTAAGTTGCAATGTAGTAAGGAAAAAATAATTAGCTGACTAATGATAACAAGCACTTTGGCTCGGTGAATGACAATTTTAAAGTTAATGTTAAAGCTATTTCCCATCCTTACGAATCCCGCAGCCTGTCACTCCTCCTGTACTAACATTACTCGGTACATCTAAAGACCTCACATTGCCTTGTGTTTCTCACTCTCGCTAACTTGAATTGTTCATCAAACGTGACATGAGAAAAGCATTTTGTAATTTTAGGATTTAAATAGTACTGTTTTTTTTACTATTCAAATTATATTTGACTTTAAGAATTCGTTCCAACTGCCCTGCTGATGAGTTTACTTTTTATTGTTACAATACCAAATCAGCATGCAGGTAATCACTACTGTGATCACAAGATGTAAGAAATGAATGAAAATATCTAGTTGCAATTTTTTTGACTGATATTGCAATTGTGATATTGGAGGGAATGATAATTTTTGTATCATTACTCTCATTGTAAAATATTTAAAAGATTTTAAGGAGGAAGAGGATCTGTACCAAACAAAGATTTTCCCTTTACACTGTAGGATACGATTTGTAGGCCAGGATGTCTCTGCAGCATCACAATTCGTTCATATTGCCATTTTGATAAAAATGCGATTAATTGTGCAGCCCTACTACTGATCATGACTGACTGACATTTTTGCTCAGGTTCACCCAGGTCTGCGGGCACGACAGGTCAACCAGAGGTGAGTTTAACATTTCATTGCTGAATATTGCAGGCAAGTCACTAGGACTATTGATCATGACTGACTGAAGGTTCTGCTCTGCGCTGTTTAGGTTCACCCAGGTCTGCGGGCAGCGACAGGTCAACCAGAGGTGAGTTTAACATTTCATTGCTGAATATTGCAGGCAAGTCACTAGGACTATTGATCATGACTGACTGAAGGTTCTGCTCTGCGCTGTTTAGGTTCACCCAGGTCTGCGGGCCGCGACAGGTCAACCAGTGGTGAGTTTAACATTTCATTGCTAAATATTGCAGGCAAGTCACTAGGACTATTGATCATGACTGACTGAAGGTTCTGCTCTGCGCTGTTTAGGTTCACCCAGGTCTGCGGGCCGCGACAGGTCAACCAGTGGTGAGTTTAACATTTCATTGCTAAATATTGCAGGCAAGTCACTAGGACTATTGATCATGACTGACTGAAGGTTCTGCTCTGCGCTGTTTAGGTTCACCCAGGTCTGCGGGCCGCGACAGGTCAACCAGTGGTGAGTTTAACATTTCATTGCTAAATATTGCAGGCAAGTCACTAGGACTATTGATCATGACTGACTGAAGGTTCTGCTCTACGTTGTTTAGGTTCACCCAGGTCTGCGGGCCGCGACAGGTCAACCAGTGGTGAGTTTATACATTTCATTGCTGAATATTGCAGGCAAGTCACTAGGACTATTGATCATGACTGACTGAAGGTTCTGCTCTACGTTGTTTAGGTTCACCCAGGTCTGCGGGCCGCGACAGGTCAACCAGTGGTGAGTTTAACATTTCATTGCTGAATATTGCAGGCAAGTCACTAGGACTATTGATCATGACTGACTGAAGGTTCTGCTCTGCGCTGTTTAGGTTCACCCAGGTCTGTGGGCCGCGACAGGTCAACCAGTGGTGAGTTTAACATTTCATTGTTAGATTATCAATCAGGATGCAGGCAACTAACACTATTGACTATTGGTTTGGGTTGCACAGGTTCGTCCAGGTCTAGGTCCGTGGGCCGGGACAGTTCAAGTGGTCGTGAGTATTGCCAGTTACATTTGGCTTGTCTTATTGAATATCAGATTAGCATGAGGAATACCATTGCTACTGGACTGACTAATGTTGGTGGTTTGGGTTTCTCAGGTGTACCCAGGTCCCAAGCCGTGGAGAGCAGGTCCTTAGATGGTGAATGTCATTGGTTGTATCACTCAATGAGGCAGATTGCACATATGTTCTAAACATATTGATTGCTTCACACACTTTTTTCTTTCCTGCTTAGGTCTTTCGCATGCAAGGCCCATTTACAATAGGGCTGTGCCAACCACATTCCCCCTGTCAGAAGCGAGTAAGTACAAAAATATTTTCATGTGAAACCCAGACTAATATGTATTATAACATTGCATTCTCTTTGTAACTGTTTGGTAAATCAGACTTCAGGTTTTCATCTTGTTGCTTTGCCATTTATGACATTTGGTCTAGAACCATCTCTTAATAAAATTGTTCTTTAATAAAACTGATTTGTCAAATACAGGGTTAAGGTTTCCCTTTGAATAAAGTATTAAAGGTGGGGTAGGTAGAAATTTTCTAAAAATACTTTTTCCCAAATTTGTTTAAACTGTCTATATTTACCAATACATAATTAAAATGTAAGTACTCTGAAAAAAGAAAAAAAAAGTATACAAATCGAGTGTCTGTAGTCCTCTCAGTGCTGCAATAACACAGCTCATTATTTCATTCACCCCCACCCCCTCCCGTCTGGGATCCTAACAAAGCCACGCCCCCAAAACACAGGAACGCGCGCTGCCGACCGCGCTCAGCTAGAGGACGCGTTTACCAGCGCCGCGGAGAGGAGCAGTGCATGACATCATGTCAGAATCACATGTAATTAAATGCCTAACTTTATCATTATTAATATAAACAACTAACATGGCTGGTAGTACTCACTATCAAGCTAGCATATCGATACTGGTAATGGTGAAGTTTAAAATATATTGAGTTTGATTCAGTAACGAGCTAGTAACATAAAAACTAAAAAAAGGTTGCATTGATACACGTTTTCACGTTACCATCAGTTACACTGTGATGAAGATGAATTTCGTGTAAGATTCATAACATATATGGTGTTTTACGTGTAAAAGCTTCCACGAAAGCAATGTCTGTTGGCGTGACCCTGGTTGTCAGTTGTCGCCACGGCTGGAAAGCCCCGCCGATATTGACTCTCGTCTGACTTCTTGCTTTATCCAAAGACTTTTGGGTCATAACCTTTTCAAATACTGTTTTCCTTTTTTGCCCGGTTTTCCTTCGCTGACTGTATATGCAGGTAACTGGGAATTTTGACTGCTCTTGCTCTGCCATAATTGTGATTCTTCCCAGCTTCAGTGCCTCTTCCAATCCTTGAGCAAACGTGTGCGGGCATGTGGGCTGCTCTTACGCAGCAGTGCTGGTAGCCATGGTAGCGAGGCAGAGTAACAGCCGCTGAGCCTATCACTTCTTTCGTCCCGGTTGGAAATAATGAGCTGTGTTTATTACAGCACTGAGAGGACTACAGAACTCGATTTGTATACTTTCTTTTTCAGAGTACTTACATTTTAAGTATGTATTGGTATATATAGACAGTTTAAACAAATTTGGGAAAAAGTTTTATAGAAAATTTCTACCTACCCCACCTTTAAGTAACTAATTGAATAGTCATTCATTTTTCTGGGATTGCTAGAGAGCACTCTTTTACTGAAAGGCTGAAATGCCTTGCTGTTACCAGAGAACCATGATTATAGTGAGTAATCATTTTTTTCTTAATTTCTCATTATTGCCAGAATTCCAGAAAATAGTGGTAACAAAGCTGGTGACTCTCACTGATGAGGTCAAAAAACTCCAGAGGACCTTACCTAACTCTGGGATTGATATAAGCAAGATCGACACCTTGGAAGAGTTCGAGAGGGAGGAGGCTTCTCTTCTGGAGAAAAACAAATTTGAAACCTTGGTAAAATATTTTTCAACCTCTTCCAATAGGGGGTTTATGCGGTGCGCTAAGCGTTCTAACCGACAAACAGGTCTAATCATTTCCGCTTTTCACTTCAGTACACATCTGCAGCGTAGGTGATCTCTTAGGTAACTTAAGTTTAGTTTATTATAATACAATTTTTCTTTCTGATCAAACTTTAGTGTACTTAGAGAGTAGAGTTTTTGTTGTGTGCCAAGCTGCGAGTCAGTCAGGGTGATTCGGGTCCAAAAGATTAGGCGTGTTAATTGCGTTATAAGGAGACACACCACTGACTGCAGTCGGCATTTTGTGCCAGAAGATATATGAAACACAGTAATACAGCTCATATTGATACATTTCAATATGTTCTAGCAAATTCTATCTGAATTTTGTATTTTACCTGCTGATACAATGTGTTGGAAAGTATGTGATATTAGAGTTAAACAAATCATTCAATTATCTCAAGACTAGACATATAATTTTCAAAATTGACAGTTTTTCAAGGCAGCAAACAATTGGACCACACTGGTTGAACTTTTTTCTCTATCCGTACAATGTTCTCAATTTTTTACCCTTGATATATTTGCAGGTTTGTCAGCTGGCAAGAGTCGGGGGGAAAGATGTAAAGGACTGCACGCACAAAGTGATGGACAGGTATTTATTTACACATTAACTTTAACAGACACAGGTCTTTAGACATCTGACCAGAACAGTTTTTCATGTTAGTTCAGCTCTGCTTTGGTTTTCTTGTGTCCCCATTTTTTCATTTGGTGCTTCATTTGGGGGTTTGGTTTAGTTGATGTTTTAAGTAAGGAGCAGGACTGTGTACTTGGGCACAGTGAACGCACAGTAAGGCTGACGATGGTTAATTTATGCAGCCCTTTGTCCATCTCAGCCAATGCCAATGCTCTATCAAAATCGCTGTTTGTTTTTTTGTCATTTATTTTGAATTCCTGCCGAAAAAACGCAGCCTGCGGTCACCATGCTACGTGTGTGTGTGTGTGTGTGTGTGTGTGTGTGTGTGTGTGTGTAAGTAATAATTGCATATTAATTTTGTCTTGTATTGGATTTAGGCTCTTCACCAATCAGCTGATGACCTTTTTTAATATGAAGGGGAAGGGCAAAAAGGATAAAATTGGAATTGAAGACAAGAAATTGTTTTCAGCAATAAAAGGTAAGCTTCATATTATGGCAATTTAAAAAAAAGTGTGTATAATATGTATATGTATGTGTGTGTGTGGAATGTTGAATATCAGGCTTGATGTAACTTGACTTGATTTAATAACTATTTCATTTAATCAAGTACTCAAATTTTCATCTATGTATACTATGTATCTGTGCTGCAAGCTAGACCACAACAGTGGCGTTTGTTATTTATTTTTCATGTGCATGTTTTTGCTTTGATTTTAGCTGCTGTCATGAAATGGGACCCAGCTGCTACAGAGGCCCAAATAAAGTCTGCTGCAGCCGATCATTTGAAACATGCTCCCGGGAGAGTCGGGGGTGGTGGCTACAAATAAATATATTGTGGACCTAATAGCAGCCATATTTTGTTAATTGTTTACTGTTTTAACAACATTTTATAGTACTTTATTTATAACTTTACTGTTCTGGCAGTAATACAGTTTTATTGTGTTAATTTATACTTTAATGTTCTGGTTTTAAGTTTGGGTAAAATTAGTAATAAAAATATGTTTTGAGATTTAAATCATTGATTTCTTCAAGTGATCAGTTTGGTTTACAGGAAAATACTAGGCAGTTTATTAAAATTATATTGATAAGATGCAGTTTCATGACACGACAACCATTAAGTAACTGGGTTTTTCTCAGAACTAACTCTGCAACTATTTTGAAGTAAACATTTTTTAAAGTTAGATCCTACCAAATATTCACAGATGGGATTTTCATGTCAGTATGGGTCTTAACAGTCTTTGGCATTTCTACTAAAGAAAACGTGTCTAATATTTATTCTGCCTTTAGATGGCTCCTGTGAGGACGTCTTCTGGATGTCTAACAATTACATCTGTAGCACGTCTTTAATTGACGTCTAAACAACATCCTGAAAAGACGTATAAAAAACTTTCATTCTGGCTCCTGTGAGGACGTCTTCTGGATGTCTAACAATTACATCTGTAGCACGTCTTTAATTGACGTCTAAACAATGTCCAGAAAAGACGTATAAAAAAACTTTCATTCTGGCTCCTGTGAGGACGTCTTCTGGATGTCTAACAATTACATCTGTAGCACGTCTTTAATTGACGTCTAAACAATGTCCAGAAAAGACGTATAAAAAACTTTCATTCTGGCTCCTGTGAGGACGTCTTCTGGATGTCTAACAATTACGTCTGTAGTACGTTTTTAATTGACGTCTAAACAATGTCCAGAAAAGACGTATAAAAAACTTTCATTCTGGCTCCTGTGAGGACGTCTTCTGGATGTCTAACAATTACGTCTGTAGTACGTTTTTAATTGACGTCTAAACAATGTCCAGAAAAGACGTATAAAAAACTTTCATTCTGGCTCCTGTGAGGACGTCTTCTGGATGTCTAACAATTACATCTGTAGCACGTCTTTAATTGACGTCTAAACAACATCCTGAAAAGACGTATAAAAAACTTTCATTCTGGCTCCTGTGAGGACGTCTTCTGGATGTCTAACAATTACGTCTGTAGTACGTTTTTAATTGACGTCTAAACAATGTCCAGAAAAGACGTATAAAAACTTTCATTCTGGCTCCTGTGAGGACGTCTTCTGGATGTCTAACAATTACGTCTGTAGTACGTTTTTAATTGACGTCTAAACAATGTCCAGAAAAGACGTATAAAAACTTTCATTCTGGCTCCTGTGAGGACGTCTTCTGGATGTCTAACAATTACGTCTTTCAGACGTATTCTAGACGACTTCTTGCTCGCTGGGTTGGCTCGGCTTTGTTTGGTTTTCCATTGTAGAAATGTTGTACCTGTACCTGCTTCTAGGTACTTTTTTTTCATATCACCTCCGTCAAGGTTCCAAGCGAGCTGACAGAGGCCAGCAACAGAAAGTTTTATATTTTACTGTTTCGTATGTAATTTCATCACTAAATCCACTTCTGAGAAGTTTTGAGGTGAAATCAGCCGTGTAGATTTCAAATATTGACAGTTTTACGAGAACTGATGGCGGAACAAAAATGTGCTTGAATATTGTCGGAGTTGAGGAGCTCCGCAAGTGGCTGCAGGGGATGCCTGTGCCAACCTGCGGGAGGAGCGTGTGAGGCCGGCCAGCCGCCCACTCACAGAGCCCTCTGCTCCTGCCGTCACACAGACCGCTGCAGCAACAACGGCAGAGGAAAACACAGCTGGAAGGTTTTCATAACGCTCATCTGTCTTTACATTCTGAGGAATGTTGAAACGTTTTAACTTTAAAAAAGAGAAAGCTGTGTGGATCGCTGGTGTGTGTCTCGCATTGAACATTACGCCACGGCAGTTGTGTGTGGCGTCGCTATGACGACAAGCTACATACCATCTCTGGGTACTATCTGCAATGGAAAACGGAGCAGGCCCGAGTAGAGTCAATCGATTTGCGCTATGGTAGCATTTTTCGTCAGAACACCGGCAACAGTCCTAAAAGATGATGCAACTCCGACTCTGTAAATTCACAATCACGTGCTTTATTGGTTGTGAATTATATTTATGATGTGGAACAATGATGTTGTGTGGTTGTGGACTTGAGTAACTTCTACCATCTGCTAGGTTACGGTCGCAGTCTGAAGCGGCTTTGACTTGGATCACACTACCTTGTTTCTTATGACCTGCCCTTCTCTGCTTCTGATTGGCTAGTAGTCCTTACCTGGGAACTGCGCATTTGCAACTCCCAACAAAAGATTTTGTACAAGTAAGATGCATCACTCTGTAGCTCGGAGCGTACAACACATAGGGTGAAAAGAGGAGCTGCAGCAATGTGCAGTATGAGAAAAATATAGTGTTTTTTGAAAATTAAACCATGTAAACTATTCTGGTACAACCCCTAAATAAGATTTTGAACCTGAAAATGAGCATAATACCACCGCTTTAACATACTATTTACAAACAATAAAAAAGTTTATTTTTATACTGCATTATGTCATGGTATCTTGGCATGGTCTCAACATAACAAATATTAGGGATAATCTTTGTTTATGTTATGTGTTTCTGAAAATAAAGGGGAAAAAGAATATCACCCGATATGTAGACATATCGGATTTTAAAATCGGTATTGGACTTAAAAATCCCATGTCGGTCGGGCTCTACTGAAAGCAATGCAGAATGCCTGAGAGCCTTATTGAATTATATTCTGTTATAAGCTAGTTTTAGCTTTTGAATTGTCACATGCCAAGTGAATTGTGTGTTTCCCTTTACATAAATAAATATTTAACATAAATTGGTGCAGAAAGATTACCAGAATGCAGGAAATTAAGTGTTTAGTGCTCTAAATAATATAATTCAGCATTGAAAATTTCTTAAAAATAGTTAAAATCTCGTCTTGTCTCAATCTCCCGAACCCAATATTGTGTGTCGTCTTGTGATTATTAACCCTTAGTTAATACACAGAGAACCTTGCTGCCACTTGCTTCCTCTGTTATATTAGCTGCCGCTGGCTGATTAGGGTTTATCAGTATAACTTCTATATCCTTCACCATCCACCACATCAAACCCTCTTTCTTTCCACCTAGTTCATCAACCACAATACAATTACTGGTCTTTATAAAGACACGTCAGACACTCAGCTGCAGTGAGGCTATGTATCGATATAGCCTACCAATGCAGTGGCTAAAGCCAGCTAGACAATGAGGTCACGCATGCGAGATCAGAGACAATTAGACAATGTTTAATCAATAGGCACACTTGACTAGACAGGGGGTCTACTACAAGTGATCTAAATGTCGGTATTGACAGTGTTGCATTTGAATAGTTACAGTAGATCTGCTTTAGCCTTAATCTATCAATATAATGGACGGCCTTCAGATTTTTTCTGTCATTATTAAAAAAATTCAGTCAATGACAGAATATTCTGTGAACACAGCCCGTGTTACTGCATTAGTTTTAGCTAGTTGGACCTAAGTGACTGACAACTGAGTGTATGTGTACACCTGTCTAGATGGCTGTCTACCATTACCTTTATATGCCACATTTAAACCCAGGAACAACTCAAATCAATGTGTTGTCTGGGACCACACAACAAAACAAAGACAGCAACAAGTCTTTAGTGACCAGGGGACAAACAGATGAGTCAGTTATAAAAAAAAAAATATTTTAAATTAGATTACGTAAAAAATTATGACAGTAATTTGGGATGGGTGTAAATGAGAGTTAATTTTACTGCCAGGTGGGATGAAAGATTGGTCTCTGTTTGCAAGTGCATCCACTCTAAATTTGTAACCATACAGGGGACTTGGGAATCTGCTTTGTGGGGTTTACTGAGGACAGAGAACACTGGAAAAATATTCCAACTGGATGAAAACGAAATAGACAGCTTACTGACGTGATGAATTGATATGTGAAGAGGTTGAAGAGGGACCACTCTGAGCCTGAGATGTTTGTTCAAAAGGACTTATTGTCAAAGAAAACACCCAAAACCTGTTTATGATCACTGGATATTCATGTTGGACCATCTGTCTGTCCATTATCCACAGTTTCCTTTCATTTTCTGGTAAAATGGCTCTATAAAGCGAGTTTCCTGTCTCATCGCCAAATGCCTGTTGGTTAAGGTACTTGTCACGACTTATTCAAGTTAATTACCTTTCCAATCAATAGGTGACTTTAACCTTTTGGCCTCTGTGTTGTTGTGATTCAATTTAATTCAACTCTGGGGAATATACACTTATTGTAATTACTCTCTCTCAAAATGGAGAAAATTGATTTCCTCTACTGCTGAAATGTTTTGTCTAATTAATCCACAACATAAGCAAACTGCTAAATAAAAAATATTGCGGTGTATTTATCAACCAGCCTCTAAACAAAACATTTTCATTTGTCACCTTCTCATCTTTAACAAAACACTGGAAGCATCTTGATTACAATTTCTTTTTGAAATTTGCTCATCTTCTGAGTTTTCCAATTTTCTATTATGACAGAAACCCAAGGGACAATTATTATTAATCCCAGTTAAACACCACAGATTGAATGAAATTAACTTTTTGGAGTAGTTGCTCAGGTATTCAAACAACAGTTCATCAGCATCTCAGTGCAAACTCTTGGACTGACTTTAGAAAGCTTGTTAATTTGTCTTCTGATTGATTCCTACAATTACTACAAAGTTCTTTCACACAGGGAAGTTTTAGACATCTGATCAAAAACTTTACCTGATGAATGTCTGAGAACCAAAATGTTGTAAACAGATTAAGTACAAGTGATTGACAGTGGACAGGATTTTTCATAAATTGACAAACTGAAATAAAAGTGATTGAGTCCCATGGCAATTGTGGCCCATGTAAACCACCAGGGCCTGGTGTTCTTTTAGAGAGTCAGTTAAAAACTCAAACTAAGTGCTTATTTTAATAAGTGGAGGAGTGGATCAGGCCAAATCAGAGAGGGCACATATACATGAATTACACACTTTTTTGAATGTATTGTCTTATAGCGTCCAGATATAGGTTACATTATCACAAAAGGTATACCCTGACTGAACACTAAAATATCTAAAAATGTATGTTTACATCAAATGGTATCAGTGTATGTACCAAATACATGACTTACATACACACTTATCTACATTCTTGGCATACACAGGATTGCCACGTTTATTGTAGTGTGTAACAGTATTCTAGTTAGTCAAGCTAACTACTGAATGAAAAGGTTCTCACAAGCATCGAGCATACCTTCTGCAAAGCTTCATTCACTAATACCTCATAGCCAACAGGTGACTGAACAACAAATAAATACATTTTTCAAAGCAGACTCTGTCCCTGCAACTGTGTCTGACAAACCATATACTGTATAATACATATTACTTCCATAACATCAACAAGAGCCCGGTAAGGACAGCACACAGAAGACATTTACTTTAGAAATCAGCCAGCAAAGAGACCTAACGTCACACAGACAGACAGGGTACATGTGACAAGAGACGTTCTGACTCACGTTATTTGACGTCGAGGTCCATTTTCTTTTATTTTGAGATTAAGTCCATTATCCATGTCATGCAGGCCCCTTCGGTGGTTATTTAGTTTGTTTCTTGGCAGAACTCCTCTTCATCTTTCTCCACCTAGCTTAATTTTGTGGAGGAAACTCTCCTCTTATTTCAGAAATTAAAATGACAGCTGTTGCTATTTTTGGATAGTTTGTGTTTTTACAATTAAAGTCATAACACACTGACATTGTTGTCACATTTTACAGACTATATAATGCTCTAAAGGCTTAAATAGGCATCCTGACAATCAGCAACTGGCCAATGAGAGGAAGGATAATGAAAAGCAGGTGTTTTCAATCAGCTCATCAAGTAGTTGGAGGGCGCTTATATGTTTTAGCATTGATGTCATAGTTAGTGGAGCTGTTGTACTGGATTGCATTATATTCAGAGGTATTTCTAATATCCACCCCTACCTATGACCTCAGTGATAAACATACAGCCTAAATGAATTTACACATGAGACTGACCTTTGCTTCACTGTGTGGTCTTGGGGAAGTAAATCAATCTCGTTTTGAAATATAGTCATGTTAATTGGCCATAAGCTCATAAAATATGACATGAGCTGGTAAATATTTTACTATTGCAAGTCATCATTAAGCCAGCACATTAGAAGCAAAATTAATATTTCAGAAGTCAGTTTTAAATTGGATTAAAGTCTGGTAATAAAAGTATCATTTATTAGTAGACTTTCCAGTAGCTCAGTTAGGTGCAGTATTCATTGCCAAGGGAATTTAAAGTCAGTGTTGTGTATTAAATGTTGTAGAGAAGACTGCTGTATGACGAGGTCTCCCCAGATATTCCAAACAGCCGTTAAATAGTTCTGTCTTTAATATGTCAGTTTGGTCTCCTGTTGAGATTTTTAAAAATTCATTCACCACACTTCTATCCCCATTGGAGCATGACTGAGAGAGAGAAACACAGAGCACAAAGGAAGTACAAAAGGTTTTCTGGCTTGGAGGCATTTGTACAGAGATAACTATTTCCTATCTCTACTTTGAATGTTTGTAGCGCTTGCTGAATACATGTGCAAGAGAAAAAAGGGGCATTTTATAGAGCAAGTCAGAAGTGTAGAACTTGAGTTTGCTTTTTGCTGCAAGGCAGTATTTTTTATTGATTAATAGTGGGCAAAATAGATGGGGAGGAGAAAGGATTTTATGGCAGCAAAATCTCTATTGTTGAAACCTACAGTGGATTTTACTGTAAAATGCCCTGCAGATTATAGCATATTAAATGGGAGGATAAGAACAATTTTCTATTATGAAGGTTTGGACTTGCACAACGATGAGTCTGATACTGGGACCGCACCCATTGCTTGTATGTAAATTTGTGTTAGAGCTTTGGTGAATGGGTGACCTGTCTAAGGTGTTTCCCCACCTTCCACTCAATGCATTTAGGCTTACATGTCATTTAAATGATAAGTCTAGTGATATTTTATATTTTTCTTGTCACAAACCCCACGAAAAGGGCAACAATATTGTATTGTTAGTATTGTCTCTGTAGTAAAAACCTGATATACAGTATTTTAGTCTTCTGTGCCATAGACCTATTTAGTATTTTATCATTAACTTACTTAACACATCAATAAGTCACACCATTACACTGGGTGCCATGGTCTTTCATTGTCAAACCCACATCCCATCCTGCTGTAGATACTCACTAGAGTACCAAATAGTATTAATCTGCATCAATTAATCAATCTGCAGTATTAATCAGTCCCTAACAGATATATTACTTACTCATGTTTGAGAAACATTTGCTAAAAATTACTGTGTGCAGCTACTTTAGGAAAGTATTTAGTCTTTTTTATGTATATATTTGTCACCTGTTTTTAAAGATTCATATATTTAGTAGGAACAAAGTGGCTTGCGTCTGGAGGCCACAGACAGGCAGTAAAAGTTGGGAAGTATTGAGAGACGAACTACCGCAATGATGATTTTGGTCTTTTTATGGGGTTTGTTGACATTAAGAAAAATTTAGGATATTGCCAACCGTTTGCTTTACAATAAAAAATGAATGAGGGTTAGTAGTAAGGTTGTATGGATAAGAGTTTCTTTTAGTTCTATAATAGCAGCATGCAGTGCTTTCCAATGAACTTTTTTAAGTTTTTAGGTACACTTTTTAAGCTGAAAGAAACCAGATCAGGTTTGTCAGTTAATAATTGACAGTGCTATGTAACATCCACACATAAATATTATGTTTCCATTCATGCTAGTTGGTCAATTGTATTTTCTCTGCATCCTAAAATCTTTTTATTATTATTTTGTCACTGTTATTATTGCTTTAGTCCAGTGGTTCTCAAACTTACAGCCACTGCAGGTGGGGCATGGATGTGGAGCAGACCTAAATTGCATTATTATGATTTATGTGGTGACATAAATCATAATAAACAAACAAAATTCAATTCAATTTCAATTAAATTTTATTTATATAGCGCCAAATCACAACAACAGTTGTCTCTGAGCGCTTTTCATAAAAGAGCAGGTCTAGACCGTACTCTGTGATGATATTTACAGAAACCCAACAGTTCCCACCAAGAGCAAGCACTAGGCGACAGAGGCAAGGAAAAACTCCCTTTTAAAAGGCAGAAACCTCGAGCAGAACCATGGCTCAGGGTGGGCGGCCGTCGTCCTCGACCGGTTGGGGTGAAGGAGAGAGAGAGAGAGAGAGAGAGAGAGAGAACAGAGAGAAAGAGGGAGGGGGATGGAAGGAGAGAGAGAGGGGAGGGAGGCAGCCTACACAATATACACACAGAGGTACAGACAGTAATGGTAATGTTGCTATAGACTGAATGAAAAATGGTACAGATATTTACAGTAGTGTTAATGATAATAATCATAATGTCAATGGTTATAATAAGAATAGGACTAGTAACAATAATTGGAACAGAGGGTTTCGAGCAGGAACATGGGGGCAGCAGGTGACCAGCAACCACAGATCCAGACTCCACAGCTCCAGAGCCAGAACCACCTGAAGAAAGTGATAGGAGGACGAGAAAGCACAAGACTACGGGAAAAGGGAGAAGTCAAAAGTGAATATGCATGTAAATGTAACCAGTGACTTTACACAGCTGGGAAGTAAGCTACCCTTACTGCACCTTCCATCTGATGACTTGCACTGTGACCACAATGATGCACTGAAAAAGATCAGCTATGCTACCCAAGGTACTGTCGTATACCACAATAGGAGGATTTCTATTCAACAGCTAGGCATGTTGTTGTCACAGACTGCTAGAGTGGCCAGAAACAAAACAGAGAGAGATAGTATTTGTTATTTGTATGCACTGTATAATGGAGGAGTGTGTGGGGAAAAACAGGAGATGCAGCCTCTGATGGGAGGATTTCGCCTGGAACACCAACACCTGAACAATAATGACACAGCCTGACAATTGAGAAGAGAGGAGTGGTTTCTGTAAACCAACCCTGTCACAACAGAGACAAAAACAATGTTATTTAAGTGAAGGGGATTATAGCTTTTAGTCACTGTGGCAAGATTGGTAAATTCCCAAAAGGCAACATGGGTAGAGTAGAGATCTTACAATACTCTTGGATCCTCTTTTCCTCCACAACAAAATTGAGTGGACAGAGGGGCACGCAGTTTTTATGCCAAGAGAAACTACCACTCGTCATTTACACTTAATTCTAGACATCAAATCTATATCAAACTCCATTTGATTATATTCCGTCTCTTTATGTGAGATGTCATTTGTGGTTTCATGAATAATGCAGGTGTAAGATATCAAAATGCAATGAAAGAAAGAAATATACGTCACACAAGGTTTAACATAATAATACAGCCTCTGCTGTTGATTATCTTCTAATTCTGTCTATCGCTTGCTTCACTACCGCCGTGTGCTCTCTGTATTTCACACATTTAGCCTAGCTGATGGAAAGAACAATCATATTATATCAGCTGAATGATTGCTCTTAACTTGTGTGGAGTATTAGGGTTATCACATGGAGTCAGGGAAATATCACAAAGTGCTGTGGAAGATTAAATGGGACAGTGATCTTTGTGGGCAAGCCATTTAAATGCCAGACCGTATAATTATGATTAGGAGACGGCATCTCCGCAAAATGTTGATTGAATTAGGAATTTGGATAGAGCCCTGAATAGCTCCAGATGTATGCGTGATGATTTAGACCTGTATCTGTTGCTGGGGAGGGCACATGCTAATTTCAATTTGATCGTAAGCACAAGGATGTTATGTTGATCATACTGCTGGCCGGGTTGCTCTTTTTCCCATCTCCTTGCATTTACACATTTTCTAATGAAATTAAAAGGACAGTGCAGTGGCATGAAAGGCTATTCAAAGTAGTAGCATGAAACCAAATTATGCTTTTATGACTTTCTGCTCTGGCGCTCAAACATGCTGTCCATTAGAAAGCAGAGCAGGGAAGACTGCTCTCCAAAAATGATGTAGTATTATGATACATAATCAATGAGAGTGCCATCATTTCATAATGCACGACAAGCCCGCCTAGGCTGACACCTGGAAGAAGATGTCTACATCTTTCATCCAAATTTCAATGAATTTGCATTTGATTCATAAAGGCCCAGTCAGGCTCCCCCTTATAATTAAAACTAAAAATTATATTTTTTTAAAATTATAAATGCAACACTTTTGTTTTTGCCCCCATTCATCATAAGCTGAACTCAAAGATCTAAGACTTTCTCTATGTACACAAAAGGCCTATTTCTCTGAATGTTGTTCACAAATCTGTGTTAGTGCTGCTGATCATACAGCATGGTTATTGCACAGGTGTGCCTTAGGCTGGCCAGAATAAAAGGCCACTCGAAAATGTGCAGTTTCATTGTATTGGGGGAAACCAGTCAGTATCTGGTGTGACCACCATTTACCTCACGCAGTGCAACACATCTCCTTCGCATGGAGTTGATCAGGTTGTTGATTGTGGCCTGTGAATGTTGGTCCACTCCTCTTCAATGGCTGTGCGAAGTTGCAGTCAGGTCGAGTTCCGGTGAGGACAATGAGCATGCAGATGAGCTTCCCGGAGACGGTTCCTGACAGTTTGTGCAGAAATTCTTTGGTTATGCAAACCGATTGTTGCAGCAGCTGTCTGGGTGGCTGGTCTCAGACGATCTTGGAGGTGAAGATGCTTTTGATAGATTTTGACAGATTTTTGAACAATATTTGAGAGAAATAGGCATTTTGTTTATATAG